TTCTCTAGAACTCGCAAACGCCCGATCGCAGGTTTTTGGTTGAACGTCTTTGATGCGAAATCATTTCTGTTATACGTTTCCAGGACACTCGATTATGCACGAACCGAAGGTGTTTGAAGGATGTCGGCACTCGCGCGCGGCAACGCGCGTGCGAGCACTTCGTTTTTTTTGTTACGCGCGAGGATTTGTACGGAAACGGATGATTTTTGATACACGAATGTGCGCGGATATTTCCCATCCCTCCTTGGTTGGATATTCGTATTGAATAGAGCACCGTGGTCGCTTCCCTCCTCCTCCCGCCTCCTCCCTCCCGCCCCCTGTCTCCCGCGAGATCTCGCCGTCAGTGGGGGGGGGCTGCGATCTGCGAAACTGTCACCACTCTCGAAGGTTGCTGGTGGGTCCAGTGGAGTGAGGCACCGCGCAGATCTGAGCGAAACCTCGCCGTCCCTGGGCGGCTGCGATCTGCGAAACTGTCGCCATTCTCGGGGGTTGCTGGTGGGTCCAGCGGAGTGAGGCACCGCGCAGATCTGAGCGTGACCTCGCCGTCCCTGGGGTGCGATCTGCGAAACTGTCGCCACTTTCGAGGGCTGCTGGTGGGTCCAGCGGACCGCGCAGGTCTAAGCGAGACTTCGCCGTCCCTGGGGGGGGGGGCTGCGATCTGCGAAACTGTGGCCACTTTTGAGGGTTGCTCGTGGGTCCAGCGGAGTGAGGCACCTCGCAGGTCTGAGCGGGACCTCGCCGTCCCTGGAGGGGGGGCTGCGATCTGCGAAGCTGTCGCCACTTTCGATGGCTGCTGGTGGGTCCAGCGGGGTGAGGCACCGCGCAGATCTGAGCGAGACCTCGCCGTCCCTGGGGGGGGGGCTGCGATCTGCGAAACTGTCGCCACTTTCGAAAGCTGCTGGTGTCCAGCGGAGTAAGGCACTGCGCAGATCTGAGCGAGACCTCGCCGTCCCTGGGCGGCTGCGATCTGCGAAACTGTCGCCACGTTCGAAAGCTGCTGGTGTCCAGCGGAGTAAGGCACTGCGCAGATCTGAGCGAGACTTCGCCGTCCCTGGGCGGCTGCGATCTGCGAAACTGTGGCCACTTTCGAGGGCTGCTGGTGGGTCCAGCGGAGTGAGACACCGCGCGGATCTAAGCGAGACTTCGCCGTCCCTGGGGGGGAGGGCTGCGAAGCTGTCGCCACTTTCGAGGGCTGCTGGTGGGTCCAGCGGAGTGAGGCACTGCGCAGATCTTAGCGAAAACTCGCCGTCCCTGGGGGGCTCCGATCTGCGAAACTGTCACCACTGCCGAGGGCTGCTGGTGGGTCCAGCGGAATGAGGCGCCGCGCAGATCTGAGCGGGACCTCGCCGTCCCTGGGGGGCTGCGATCTGCGAAGCTGTCGGCACTTTCGAGGGCTGCTGGTGGGTCCAGTGGAGTGAGGCACCGCGCGGATCTGAGCGAGACCTCGCGGTCCTTGTCGCCACTTTCGAGGGATGCTGGTGGGTCCAGCGGAGTGAGGCACCTCGCGGATCTGAGCGAGACCTCGCCGTCCCTTGGGGGGGGCTGCGATCTGCGAAACAGTTGCCACTTTTGAGGGTTGCTGGTGGGTCCAGCGGAGTGAGGCACGGTGCAGGTCTGAGCGGGACCTCGCCGTCCCTGGGGGGGGGCTGCGATCTGCGAAACTGTCGCCCTTTTCGAAGGCTGCTGGCGGGTCCAGCGGAGTGAGGCACCGCGTTGATCTGAGCAAGACCTCGCCATCCCTGGGGGGCTGCGAGCCTCACGAATGCCGCTCGCAGAATTATAGGCGCCCATGTCACGTCATCACCTCTGCATAACATGTCCCAGTCTACTCGTGCCCCGCATTGCGCAGGGGTTGGGTACGTCGCCAGGGTCATTTTTTTGGGGGATGAGGTGCTGCAATGCCGGCCTGCTTTGGGACTGTACGAACTCAAATTTAGGATCGGCGGTGGGTCAGTATCAGAAGTTCTTTGCAATGCGACGAGGGGTTCCCGTGCGCGGAGGAAGTTGATCTTAGCATTGTTTGAAAGAAGAATGGTGGTTTTGAAAGGCATGGAGTTGTCTGCTCCATTGCCTTGCAAACATCCCGCCCTCCCGCCCGCAACTTGGCGTGTAACGCCCATGCGGCGGCGATTGTGATGAGTGCATGACAATGGCTTGTGCGTTTGCGGCCGCGCTGGCCCGCGCGCGCTCGCGCGCGCAGCGGCCGGTTAGTTTGGCGCGACCGATGCGACCGCGGCGGCGCTGACCGCTTGGCACTTCCAAGCGTGCCTCGCAGGCAGCGCTGACGCGCGGGCCCATCAAGGCGAGTCGATGACTTGGGCGGGCGCGGTATCGCGGCATCGTCGACCGCGCCGACGACGACGATGATGGTGGCGATGATGGTGGCGATGATGACAATGGGGACGGCAAAGTTAACGACGGCGCCGATGTTGATCACGGTGATGACGGTGACGTTGTTCTCGCGCTGGCGATGTGCTGAAAGGATTTTGAATTATTTGACAGGCATCGCGCCTCCCCGCCCCCCCCAAACGCGCGCGCAAGGGCGTTCGAGCGATTCCGACTTGCGCCCGCGACGGGCCCAGGTGGTCGAACCAAGTGAATTTGTCAAAGTTTTTGTTCAACACATTTTTCGAAAACTGACGTTGGATCACCAAGTGTTTTTGTTTCGTTCTCGGGCCACTCGTTTTTGGCATCGCCACGACCCCGAAGGTTTGTGTATGAGTTTGGGAAGTGCCCACGACGACGCGCACGTGTGCGCGTGGTTTTTTGTTGCTAAAAGATCGTCGCATTCTTTAACACAAGTGATCTTTGATGTGCGAGCGCCCGCGTAATATCTGTTGCAGAGGATGGTGGTGGTGGTGGTGGTGGTGGTGTGTGTGTGTGTGTGTGGAACGGTCGATCGTGGCCTTGCTGGCGTGGCATGGTTTCATATTTCGGATGGACGATGGGGCACAATCGTGCAACCTGTTTTTTTGCTTCGAAAGGAGAGGATACGCTGTGCAATCAATGTGGTGCGGGTTGTATTGGTGCAATATTTGCAGGGCTATCTACCCTGGGTGATCTATGTGGCGTTAGCTACGTGATGCAGCATTTGTTGTGCAATTTGCGTGGTTCAATTTCCGTGGTAACATATCGGTTGAGGACACGATGTAGTGCATAAGCTACGTGCTGCAACTTATGCGGCGCATTTCACCCTGCCGAACTTGAAGTTGTCCACTCCACTGCTCGCGCAATCGTCCCACCCACCCACTCGCATCTTGGTTTTCGAAACCCATGCGGCAGCGACTGCGACGCTGGCTGGTGCATCCTTTCTTGCTACGACAGCCCACCCATGACCGTGATCTGGGACCGGCCCGCCCCTTCAATTTTGGGGGGCTATTATCCCGGTATCTGGCAACCTCCGCCCCCGCTCCTGTGCCATCCACCCCCGTTTACCGCCACATGCATGACGATGCACAGTCCTCCAGCCCTCCTCCTCCCCTGGTCCATCCTCCTCCTCCTCCTCTTTCTCCTCCTCCTCCTCCTCCTCTTCCTCCTCCTCCTCCTCCTGAGCTCGAGAAGATGAAGGTCGACATGTCCAAGGATGGGTGGAAAGCGATCGCCACCCCTTCCACGCCCACAGGCCGCTCACAGTCGGGCCCCACTGGAGGCGAGGCCATCCTCTGCAAGAAGACGCTCGCGACCACCTCCTTCGAGGGCTGGAGGAAGGCCGAGTTCGAGCGTACGGCGAAGGACCCGTTCGAAGGTTTCTGCCCGTCCACCTGGCACACGAAGTCGGGGAACGTGATAGTCATTGCAGCCTACCTCCAGCCCAAGTTCGGTCTCCGAGGTCCGAACGAGCGCATGATGATCAGATTGGCTGCCTTCCTGAGGGTATTGGCGGATCCCTGGGTCGTCCTGGGCGACTGGAACAACCAGCCGAGCGAGTGGGACAAGACGAAGTGGCTCAGCAGGATCGGCGGCTCTCTCGTGCTGCCGACGAACGTCGCCACCACCTGCAACCTTGGCCAGGGCACCATGATCGACTACGGCATTGCACGCTCGGATTTCGCGCTGTCCTTGAAGCTGGATGCTGTGGTAGAAGTCCCGTGGAAGACGCACGTCGGCCTGGTTTTATCGATCTGCGACGGCAAGTGCAACTGGTGGAATCGAGTCATCCAGTTGCCGCGTGAGCTTCCCACAGTCGCCAGGCCGAAGAAGCAGGCCGACCTGAACAGCAAGAGGCAGAAGGCCTTGTCATCCCACCGCAAGCGGAAGGAGGCCTTGGACCAGCAGCTCCAGGAGGCCTACGACGAGATCTACCGCATCGACGACGACGTCACACCTGCCCCAGCGGCAAGTTTCTGCATCCCTCTCGACCTATGGTTTCGCGTCAGAGGAGTCAAATTAGAGTCGGCCACCAGAGCCGACGCCCCAGTGCCAAGTCAGTCCGCCCGACGCGCCCAGCAGCACCAGGCGGAACTACCTCCTCATCCTAACCTTTTGCCAGGATTTCGTTCGGAACGTCAGAGCCTCCGCGTGCCCGCTCATGGAGAACAGCAGCTCCAGGCGGCACCACTTCCTCATCCTAACCTTTTGCCAGGATGTCGTTCGGAATGTCAGAGATCGAGTACCCTCGACGCCGCGGACCACGACCCCATGGACGACCTTGAGGGCCACTCTCCAGATGGCGATGAGGGTACCATCGAGTGGAGCGGTAGGGGAGGCCCACCTGGGGACCCGACTGCCCCGCTCCTTCCAGGACCAAGCCAGCCGCCCTGCGCAGGTTCGGCGGCCTCGACGTCGGCGGCCCCCGCGGCGGCGGCTTCCGCGACCCCAGGCCTGGCAATTGCAGCCCCCCCGAGCCCTCTGGTGGTCAAAGACCTTAAATGGGGGGAGCGGCTCAGGGGCCAGGTCGGACAGGCGTCTCGAGAACATGGGCTTCACACGGTGGCGGCAGAGCGCGCTGCTGCACATCCAGTGCTCGTTTCAGGTTCAGTCGCAGGGGCGGCGACCGCGAGCCAGGACATGTTGGCACAGGAGTCGGGCCCAGTGTCTTTCACAAGCGACGAGCTGATGTCCCACTACCTCTTGGACAGGGATCCCGTCGCTAAGTTGGAGACCGCGCAGGCATGCCACTCTTGGATCGAGGCAGTTGAGAACGCCACGATTCAGCACCACGCGCTCCCAGAGGATGTCGCCAAGAAGCACCGAGGCAGAGGGCGTGGCTTCACCATCGGATGGAACCGCGCCAGCGCCACACCCGCTCGCGCTCACATGCGTCACCAGTTGTTGGAATGGTGGCACTTGGCTACGACGCTGCTCGTCCGATATCAGTCGATCCTACGACGGCAGTCTACTGCGGAGGAGGCCGTCCTAAGCGGCAAGTTTTCAGAGCTGCTACAGGTCGCCTTGGACAACGAGCTCCAGAAGCCGTTTCTCGAGGACGACGACGGTGCCTTCACGTCCTGGGTAGCTGCGGTATCCGACCTAAGCAAGCTGAACGACGAGGACATCCCGGGCATCATCGAGTCAGCTGAGCGCTTCCTCAGCAGAGCCACGGGCAGAGCGCTGGCTGACGGCCGGCGTGCCTTCAGCAAGTGGGCACTCAAGATGTGGCGGGATTCTCCTGGGGCTCTGCGTCGGCACGTCAAACCGGCCCGCCCTGTTCGCGACGAGCACTTCGACGAAGCTGGGCACGCCTACGCCACCCCCAGCCAAATCATGGATCGTCGAGCTCAGGCGTGGCAGGATGTATGGACCGACAGCAACATCTGCCAGCAGTCCATCCTGGAGGGCCTCAGCTACGTCACTGTCAAGGCCCAGGAGGAGTGTGTAGACCCCATCACACTCGAGCAGCTCGACACTGTCGTCGGCCGCCTCAACGCCAATAAGGCCAAGGGGATCGACTCCATGGGCCCCGTCGAGATCCAGAGGCTCCCCGAGCCCGCCCGCAGAGAACTGGTCGCGATCTACGAGATGATCGAAGCTCGAGTCATGTGGCCCGCCCAGGTCTTTGCCGTCATGGGGGCCGTCGCCCCGAAGCCGAAGGGCGGCGACAGGATCCTGGGGCAGCTCCCCTTCCTCATGAAGCTCTGGTCCAAGATCAGGTACCCCCTGTCGGAGCGGTGGAGCGAGGATTTGGCGGAGTTCTGGGACGCGGCAGTCCGAGGCTCCTCCTCGCTGCAGGCTGCGCTAGTCAGGAGCTGCATGGCCGAGTGCTGCCACATCCTTTCCATCGGCAGTGGCGCGATCCTTCTCGACCTGGAGAAGTTCTACGACAGCATTTCAATCCCTTTATTGTGCAAGGCAGGGATGCAGCAGGGTTTCCCAGCCATCATCTTGGCGCTCGAGCTCCAGATGTTCTTGGCGCCTCGCTACTTGAAAGAACGCAGCTGGGTGCCAAGAGAGATTTTACCTTCTAGATCATTGGTGGCGGGATCGCCTCGCGGAGGCAAACTTGCGAAGGCCATGCTGGGGCCTCTGCTGCACCAAGCTCACCTTCGCTACCAGCGCAGAGTCATGATCAGGACCTTCGTAGACGACACAGTCATCAGAGTCGAAGGCGCAGCCAGTCATGTTACCGACACTTTGATCGAGGCTGGCTTTTTCGTAGGGCACAAGATGCAGCACGAAGCCAACCTCACCATATCGGACAAGACTGCCGTGATCGCCGCGGACAACTCCATGGCCAAGAAGATCGCCAAGGGCCTCAATAAGGTTGGACATCCCAGCCCGCATGGCCACCAAGGCCGTTGACTTGGGCTGCGACGCTGCTGCTGGCAGGATACGGTCCCGCGGCACAACTCGCGATCGCATGAAGAACGCAGCCAAGCGCCCCATGGCCATTGGCAAGATCCGCCGCATCGCCAAGCTCCGCCGTGCTGCTCAAGGGCTCTGGCGCACTGGCTGCTCGCCCCAGGCGTTGTACGGGCACCAGCAGATGGGCGTCCCAGAGTGCGAGATCACGGACCTTCGACGGCAAGCGGGGCGATCGGTCGCTGGACACGGCCCAGGTCGATGCTTGACCACCACCTTAGCCATGGCTATGGGCGACGGAGATCCAGCCAAGGCCGTGCGCCACCAGCATTTTACAGCATGGCTGACTAGGTGGAGGCAGAACCCAGAACCCCACCCTCGCATCCAGAAGGCCTGGGACTGCGTCGCTCCGAGGATCAGGCAGGCAGGTCAGCGCAGGTGGCGACTGGCCAAGGCCCCCCCCCCCCCCCTCAGCGCGACCATCGCTACGTTGCTGGACATCGGCTGGGACCCCGTGTCCGCCACCCAGTGGGACACCGACGGCGGGCACTCGTGGCTGATCCCCACGGCCAAAGACGAGAAGTCCCAGGAGATGACCAGCGACTTCACCCTCTTGCTCAGCGACGGCTCCGACTCCATCGACAAGCAGTTGTGGATGAGGGCGTCGCAACATGAAGCTGCGGAGGATCTACGTGCGGGAGCCGACCTTCTACACGTCTCCCGCGAGACCGAGAGGTACAGCATGGCCGACGAGTTTGGCAAGGTCGGCTTCCCCATCGCCGTCGCTTCTGGAGGTCAATGGCCGAGGGTCCGACTTCGTGAGGCAGGCTGCACCGTTGCTGCCGAGTGCCCGCGATGCGGGGAGGCGGCAGAGTCACTTTTTCATCGGATATGGAGTTGTCCAAAGAACGTTGGTCACAAGGACTACGACGACAGCGAGCACCTCATCGACCAAGCCAGGACGAACTGGGAGGCGAGCCCCTCCCTGTGGCTCAGAGGAGTACCGAGCCGCCCTGGCACCTGCCCTGCTTTCGATGAGGAAAAAGAGCATGTTTCACATGAGTTTCGCAGTTTCGCCTCCGCACCTCGCGACGCCGAAGGTTTCGTCACTGTCTTCGGGGACGGGTCGGGTGGTGAGTTCTCGGACGGCCCTCGGCGTCGCAGGGTCGGAGCCGCGATTGTCGCGCTCGATGGCCGTCCGTTCGACTGGGAGCCGTGTGCGGGGTTTTCGACCACCGTCCCTGGGCAATCCCAGACGGTTCCCCGAGCCGAGCTCACGGCGTTCGCTGAGGCCTTCGGGCGGACCGTGGGAAAGTTAAGGTATATCGCCGACCACCTCCCCATCCTTAGAATCTGGTCCCAAGGCGAGTGTGCGCGTCAGCTTCGGAACGGAGACCTTTGGACCAGGATCTTCAGGGCCGCCAAGGGGAGGGGCGCGGAGGTAATCGTGGTGTGGATCCCGTCCCGCGCGTCGGTGGATGATTTAGATTGCACCAGCGAGCGCGAAGTTTACCGTGCGATTGGCAACGAGTGTGCTGATGTGCTCGCTGGTGGGGCGGCGCGACTGACTTGGGGCGAATTCACCCTCGGCTTCGTCCCAGAGACCGACCGCAGGGATGCAGAGGCGGCCCTTGTCCGCAGGAGGGCGCGCAGGGCCCTGGAGGATTGTGCTCGTGTGGACCCCTGGACCGCTGCCCGCCCCGAGCGTCCCGAGGCCCCCCCCGTGCCCGTCCTGGCCCGCGTGCTGAAATCATCCGCCCATGCGTGGCGGAGGGTCGGCCCAAAATTCGTGTGTCTGTGCTGCTCTCGGTTCGAGACGAAGGCGTCAATTAAGCAGGCGGCCCTCTCTAGATGCGACCAGGGTTCGAATCCGGGGTCCGACTAACCCGTTTTGTTTTTTCAAGACTCCAGTTGTCTTTCATGCTCGCATTCCTCGCATTCCTCCTCCTCCTCCTGGCCAGGTGTTTCTGACACCGTCTCCCCGCCCTCCGCCCGATCCCCCGTGTCTCCTCAGGTCCCTGCGGCCCCTGGGGCCCTCGGCCCCCTGGGCCCCCTCCGCCGCTTCCGTGGGCTTTTTTGGGGGCCCTCCGCTCGGGGCCTCGGGGCCTCGTCGGCTCTGCGCAGCTTCTCTGGGGGGGCGGGCTGTCCGGGATGGCGGTGGGGAGGGGGGGGGGGGGGGTCGAGGGCTCCAGACCATTTTTTGTTGTTCTTAATATTTGTGTGTGTGTATATATATATATATATATATATATATATATAGATTCCCCCCCCCCCGACCCCGCAACTGAACCATGATTTGGGGCCGCCCGTTTTGCCAGCGACTCTGTGCCCTTTTCGCTGGCGGGGGGGGCTCCCGATCCGTCCTCGGGGCCTTTTTCTCTCGCGCGGACGTCCCTCCCTGCCCCATCCATCCCGCCTTCCTGCTCGCCTCCTCCTTCCACTTCTCCTATACCGTGGTTGGAGCTGCCCCCGGTGTGACGGCGGCTCGTTCGCTTGAACCGACGTTTTCCGATATCCCCCGGGATCTGTTCTCGAAGAGATCGATGGGGCCGCGAGCTGTGCCCCATCGATTTGAGTGGCCGCATCAATCGCTATGAGTTGCTCCGGAATCATGGTAGAGGGCTGGTGGTCCTCTCACCCTTGCGGCCGCGCTAGCACGCGCATGTTCGCGCGCGCGCAGCGGCCAGCTAGCTTGGCGCGACCGACGCGTCAGCGGTAGCGCTGACCGCTTGGCACTTCCCAACAGGCACGTCAGTGCGAAACGGCGATTTGGGCGGGCGCGGTACCTTGGCAAAGTCGACAACGGCAGACACGATGATGATAGTAGCGATGCTGGTGGCGATGGTGACAAAACGACAACGGCAAGGCCAGTGACGGCGCCGACTTTGATCGGGCCGACGACGACGGCGTCGTCGCGTCGGCGATCAAAAATGTTCCCGAGGGAATTTGACAGGCGCGCGCGGCCGACGTGCGCGAGTGTCCCGCGCTATTTTGTTCGACGCGGATCGTGCCCCCCCCTCCCAGGACGCGCGCAAGGGCGTTCGAGTGATTTCCACGCGCGCGTGGGAGGCCAGTTTGGTTGCATTGCTGCATTGAATGAAGATGCGGAAAGCCGGCTGTTATCCTAAAATTCGCACGAGCGCGAGCGCAGGCTTTCTCTAAACGCTGATTATGCAGTGTCATGTGTTTTCATCTGTGTTCGGGGCACTCGATTTTTTAAAATCTCTACGACACCGAATGTTGTTTGAATGATTTCGGCACGCGCGCGCGACGCGGCGCGCGCGCATCTCGTCCTATTTGTTGCAGATTTTTGCGGCGGCGCGCGTACAAAGGCGTTCGGGCGATTCCGACACGCGTTCGCGAGAGGTCCGCTTGGGAGCACGTTATGAACAATGTGAGAAACCTCTGGTTTCATCAGGAATTCGCAAGAGCGCGAGCGCACGGTGTTTAAGTGTCCCTTGTTGTTGTTGTTGTTGTTGTTGTTGTTGTTGTTGTTGTTGATGTTGATGTTGTTATGTTTGTGAAAAAAAAACCGTTGTTGCGAAGCCACGCGTGTTTCATACGCCTTCGAGGCACTCGGATTGCACATCTTTCAAACACCTCAGGTGCTTGAGTGATTTCGGCATGCTCGGGCGACGGCGCGCACAAAGCCAGGGTAGTTGGAAGCAACTACATCGAGTTCTGTAGGCGGTGAGAATGGCATCCACGGCTGCCAACTGTCGAGCCCTGTTTGGGGGCACGTGGCAGTGCGCGTCACGCACTGTCCGTACTCGACTTTCGTTTCGTTTCGTTTCGGGCGACGGCGCGCGTGCTTTGTCCGTCTCATCTTTGCAATGGGGCCTCTGGACAGGGATGCTCTGTGATGCACGAGTGCACGCGCAGCATATTTTCTGGAAGATGACGCATGGGTGGCGAGACCGGCCTGCCTGGGATAATGTGTGGCTCATATTTGGGGGGGGCGACGGGGCAGAAACCTACGTAATTCACCATGCGCGAAGCGGCCCCGCCAAAACCGGGGGGGGGGGGGGATCTTCCATATTTTTAATTTACAAAAGGAGGATGCACGTCACGCTAGCTGTGTAGTTTAAGCTACGTGGTGCAATGTACGTGGTTCAGTGTACGTGGTGGTGTAATCCATGCGGTACAACGTGCGTGGTGCGATCTGTGTGGCCCACGTGAAGCGTAAGCTCTGTAACCCACCTGTGTTAAACAACACGGAGCACTGCGAGACCGAACGAAACCATGCGAAACAACGACACGCCATGCGAAACAATGCAACATACACGTTGACAAAAGGCAAGGCAATTCAAGTCAATTCAGAGCAGTGCCAAACGAACGGAGGCGAGGCGGCGGGCAGCGACGAGGTGGCGACTGCGGCCAGAGCGGCCCGCAGGCCCAGGCGACGGGCGGCGACGAGGCGGCGACGGCTGTTGGGGGGTTTGCCTTCCGAAGAGCGCCTTCGAAGCTGCCGCGGAACACCGTAGAAGCTGCCAGCGCCTCGGAGCTGCCAAGAAGCGCAGGCGAAACTGCAAGTGGGGCGCCGTCGAAGCTGCCAAGGAACGCCCTAGAACTGTCAGGGGTCGTTGGAAGCGTTGCCAGAGAGCGCTTGAGAAGCTGCCGAGGGGCGTTTGTAGAAACTGCCAAGGAGTGCCTGAGAAACCGACAGAAAGCGCTTTAGAAATGGCCAAGGAGCGCCTGAGAAGTTGCCGACAGGTTGTTCCATGGCATGTTTTGAAGCTTCGCGAGTTTGCGCATCGTGAGAACCTGCAGCCAGGGAGTGGACCAGTTCACTGGGTAATGGAGCCCCCCGAGAAGTTTTCTCAGGGGGGGCCTTGGCCCCTGTTTTTTTTTTTTAAAGAGCAGGGGGCAAACAAACCTGCCTCGCTTTTGACCATCCCCCCTTCCAAGAGATGCCAAGCGATGCCAGACTGCCTCCTGTAGTGGTCAGGCCGCTTGACGAGGAGGCGCGTGGTACGACTTGGTTTTGCCTGGAAGCGAACGCAGGGTAGGTAATTTCAGGAGGGGAAAAAACACACAGACACAATTAATCGGCCATTCCCAGAAAATATGGGAAAATATGGGAAGTGGGGGGGAAGACAGAAACCCAGAAAATATGGGAAAATATGGGGGATATGTTTATTTGTGTGTATTTATTTGTGTGTCCTAATTTCCCTTTATAATTCACGCTCTAAAAGGGAAAGTGCTCAGGCCAGCGACGGTGGATCGTGTTCCTGTGGCTGTCTCGAGGCCATCTCGGGCATCAGAGAGCTCCCGGGCCGACTCGGAGCGGCCTGGCACCGTCTCGGGGGCCTCTTGGAGCCCTCTGCAGTCGGGGCGCTGAAGAAGGAACCCTTTTCGTTGGGGAGGGGCTCGGTGTTCCTTGATTGCTCCAGAGTGTGCCTCGGGTTTTCCTGAGGTTTCCTCAGGGACATCGAGGTTGAACCTATGGGAAAAAGGGGCCTCGTTCCTTATTTAGGGTTCCTCAGGTCAACGCCCCGACTGTATGCTACCTTTAGGGCCTTCTGGGCTCCGAAGCAGTCCTGCTGGAGCACGTGGCAGGCCCCGAAAAACACGCGGCAAACCTTGGGACAAACGTTTATTTGGGGTCTTGGCCCCCAGTACCCAGTCAGTCAGGACGGAGAGCCCCACAGGACCTGAGGATATTCCAACTCGTGCCTCGGGGCACGGTGGCGGATACATGGTGGTTTCGAGAGCGCGAGCACGTTCTGCTCTCGAGCGCGTTATGGTTTAGAATGGGGTGTTACGATGTTCTAGCCTTTTTTCTCTCCCGTGCAAGATCTGGCCTCGGCGACGCATTGTTCCCAATTCTCCTGTGTGTGGTGGTCGTTGTTGTGAGTTCGCCGCGCGGTGCCCGCCCTTCTCACCTCCTCCCGTCCCCCCCCCCATCCTCCTCCCCTCCTCTCCTCGTCCCTTCTAAGCTTGATCCTCCTCGGCCCTCCTCCCATCGCGCCGCTCCTGCTTCTTCTGTCGCGCTCCTTTTGGCACGCCCCTCGCGCGACTCCTGCCTCCTGGCGGAGCTCCACCTATAGCTCCACTGGGCATGCTCGTACGGCGTCCCCGCGCCCACTCCGGCACACCCGCCGCACGCTGCGAGGCCGACGAGGAGAGCTCGACCCATGGCCTCCGAGGGTGTGTTCGCATGGCCTCCCTGCGCATACTCCGGCGCACCCCTCGCTCGCTTCGTGGCGCGCCGTGAGCTCAGCCTACAGTCGGGGCGCTGCAGAAGGAGCCTTTTTCGCTCGGGAGGAGCTCGGTGTTCCTTGATTGCTTCGGAGTTTGCCTCGGGTTTTCCGGAGGGTCTTTTCATAGGAAGTCGAGGCTGAACTTCTGGGAAATGGGGGCCTCGTTCCTTGCTTGGGGTTCCTCAGGTCGGCGCCCCGACGGTATGGCCCCGGCGTGCGTGCGCGCACGGCGCCCCCGCGCACGCGCCTCGTGGCTCCCAGGGGAGCTCTCCGCCCGGGCTCCCATCACCACCCACCAAACCACCCCAACCCAACCCGAAGGCCCCAATTTATCCTCGATTTCCAGTTGGGGGGGGGTCGTGGAACATCGAGAAAACACATATGGAACCCGTACCCCCCCCAACCCGAAATTCGGGTCTTCGGGTTGGGTTGGGGTGGTCTGGTAGGTAGTCATCCCAGGGGGCGTGCTCGCACGGCGTCCCCCCCGCGCCCAGGGAGGCACTCTCTCTGCACGTGCCGTGGCCCACGGGGAGCTCAACGCGTAGGGCCTCCGCGGGCCTGCCCGCACGGCGTCCTGGCGCCCCTTTCGGCCTGCCGCTCACGCGTCCCGCCTCCTCCCTCCTCCTCCTCCTCCCTCCTCCTCCTCCTCCTCCTCCTCCTCCCTCCTCCTCCTCTCCTCCTCCTCCTCCTCCTCCCCTCCTCCTCCTCCTCCTCCTCGCGTGGCATCCCCGCGCCCTAGGGCACGCCCCTCGCAAGCTTCGTGCTCGGCACGGAGCTCCACCCATGGCCCCACTGTGGCCCCACACGGCGCTCCACCTGTGGCCCCAACGGGCGTGCTCGCATGGCGTCCTCGCGCCCATCCATTTCGGCATACCCCTCATTCGTTTCGTGTTCCACAGGAAGCTCTACCTATTGCCTCAGTGCGCGTGCTCGCATGGCGTCCCCGCGCCCATGTCGGCATACCTCGCCCTGTTTATAGTTGCACTTCGCTCAGATATGTTTGGCTGGTCGCCAGGCTGTTTGCGGTAATGTCCCAACCCTGTTTTAAAACAGTGATGACCCCCCCTCCCCCTCCCCCCGGATCCCGACTACCATTAATCCGCCTCCGAATTTGTTTGTTTGATTGTCCCCCATGGAAATATCCCACAGAGAACCATCCAGAGTCAGTTTGGACCATCTTGCGCCCTTTCGGATGCCAGTTTAAAGCGCCTAGGGTCATCTCGGAACCCCCACCTGGGGCCCTTCCAGAACCAGAAGGCGTGCGCAAGGGATGGTTCCCGAGTGCGGTTTCTGTCCACGCCAGGTTGCATGCCAAGGCTGGCGCGGCATTTTCTCGGCACCAGTGAGGGAGGTTGTGCATAGAGTGGTCCCTGAGCGCGGTCTCGATCCACTCCAGGTCGCAGGGCGTGTCTGGTGTAGCACGTTCGCGGCCCAGAGAAGAGGGGGTGGCCCCTGAGCGCAATCTGAATCCGTGCCAATTTCGCAGGGCATGGCGGGCGTGGCCTGACGCCAAGAGGGGGTGCGCAGGATTCCGCCCCTGCACGCGGAGCGCCAGGGCGGTCGCGGGGACGTCCCCAACGGTTCGGTTTGCCCCGCCTTTTTTGTGTGGGCTCTCTTGGGGCTCTCTTGGGGCCCTCCTGAAAGCTATGGAGCGCCTCCTGGGGCCATCTTGGAGACCATCGATCAAAGGAGGGGGGTCCTCGATTCCCCCCCCCCGGACCATCGAAATAGCCTCTTGGGGCGCTCTGGAGGCCCTCTTGGGGCGATTTTAGGCGCTCTTGGGGCAGTGCTGGGTGCCTTTTGGGCCCTTTTTGAAGTTCTTCTTGAGCCATATCAGGGCCATCTTGAGACCTCAAAAGCGCAACGGCAGCGAAAAGGCGAGAAGGCACACATCAGTGATTGTCATCAGGTTTTGAAAGATGTTGGCTTCGCGGGGAGGTCCTGACGGGTCGCCCACAGCACCTGGAACCGTCTCGTGGCCCCCTTGGGGCCTCTCAGAGGCATGCTGTTATCTATCTTGGTCCATGTTACGTTATCTTGAGCGATGTGGAGGGCCACCTTGGGCTCTTGGAGGCCCTCTTGGAGCCATTTCAGGTTATCTTGGACGCCTTGACTGCTCGCGACCCCCCGGGTGGATTTTTCCGAAACGGAAATCACGACATCCTCAGACCACCTGCGCCCAGAGGGCTGGTGGGATGTTTAATTCACCCCAATGTGTTGATATAAAATCCCGTTTTCAGACATTACCGTTCGACGATTCGCGGATCTCCACCAGCCCATCCAAGTTGCTTGGAAGCCTTTTGGAGGCATCTTGGGGCCATCGTGGGGCCCTGTCGGGGCCATGATCGAAGCCATGTCGGGGCTCTCTAGGGGCCGTTTCGGGGCCCTCGCAGGGTTCAGTTGAAGTTTGCTTGGGGGCTGTGAGGGGCCTCTTGCTGGGTAGTCGAAGGCCAGACTGTCAGACTGGATTGGGCCCCAAGGGCCAATCTGGCCTGGCCAAACTGGAGGATTGGGGCTATTCGCCAGACTGGATTCGCGTTGGCTCCCTCGCCAGATTGCCCCTGTTTGCCAGATTGGGCCTGCCAGATTGGCGCGCCATTGTCCGGGGCGAGAGTTTTAATTGCGCCTGCCGGCAGAGTCCCTACCAGGCCGTCCACGGCGCATGTCCTTTCTTTTCTTCCGCCGCGTGCGCGCGCCCCGGGCCAGCCCCCGCGACCCAGTCCGAGGCCGCGCCCGGTGCCCTTGAAAAAAAGAGCGCCAGTCGTCGCATCACCGTATGCTCCCCCCCTCACCCTGCTTTCTCTGCCCCTCGCCTGCCCATCGCTTTCGCCCCTCCCGCTCCGCCCCTCCCCTTTCCTACGCAATCCCGCCCAGGGATCGTCGGCGGGCGCGGGTCGGCGGTCACCGGGCACGCGCGCCATACGCATTAGTTACTGTTGGGGGGCAGAGAAATCACCAGGGACCGGGGCCGCGGCCCTGGCGGCCTCATTCAACACAGTTCTGTGTAAAAAACGTACGATTGATTCACTTTTTTGCCGCTCTGGCAGGGAAGAAAAACACTTCCTCGTCGCGCGTGGTTTACCGGATCCGCGCACCGTTGCCCATGAGTATTGCCGTGGCCACAATATCCCCGGGGGCCGCGCACGGCAGGGCCCAGGCGGCCCCCGACCGCCAAGAAAACGTGCCAAAAAACGTACGATTGGTGCACTTTTTGCCTCCTGGCGGGGGGTAGAACACACCTTCGTCGCCGCCCCCCCCCCAGCCTGTTGGTCGACAGGGAATGGCCGCCGCGTCCGAAAGCCTTTGGGGCTCGAGATGAAGCGCGGCCCAGGATCGCCAGAGCCCGCGCGCCGCCAGCGCCTCGGCCCCGCCTGTTTGCACCGCGACGATTTCGATCGCCCCAGGCCGGCGGCCGACAGAGCGTCTTCCGACGGGCCTCGCGCTGCACCTTCGCAAGCATCCGCGGTGCCCCCGGGGGAGACCCGCCCCGGCGACGCACGCTGGCGCCCTAGCACGTCAAACGGGGCTGTTGGGGCCCCCGCGCTGCAACACGAACCACTTCGAGCCCCGCCGATGGACGCACCAGGCGCGCGCCAGCTTCTGAGTGAGGGCCCCGACCTATTGTCTTTAATTCGCGAGAGCACCTCTGTGGAACAGGGGGCACATCGCAGCAGGGCCACATCAGCAATTCACTGCTGCCTCCAAGCAGCCCTGGAGGAGAGCACAAAGAAGCGGTATAGCAGCTCCCTGCGTACTGCCGTAGATTCTTTCGAGAATTCCTCAGGACTGCAACTTTTGCCGTGCGACCCAGACGTGACATTCACGCTGTTGTTTGCCCAGATGGACGGCCGGTCCTGGTCATCCGTTACGAATCTGCGCGCTGCAGTGCGGTGTTGGCACCAGCAGCGCAACTTGACATCGCAATTTGACAGTGCATGGACGGACCGGTCGGCCCAATTCTGGAGAGGTCTGAAGAAGCGGGCCGACCATTCACGGTCACACGCAAAACGCCCGGTATCTCTCGAAGAATTGCGGTGTTACCAGACCGCACGCCTCAAAGCAGGCAGCCTGGCCGCTGTCCGGGACGTCGCTATAGCAGCCGTGTCTTTCTTCGGCGTCCGGAGGTGTTCCGAGACTCTCGCGCTCCGGCGTCGAGACATATCTTTGCACGACAATTTCGTGTCTATTTCTGTCGCCCGGCAAAAGAACGACCCTTTCGGACATGGCATGGTGTGCCACATCCCAAAGATGGTCGACACCCCCAGCTTTTGCCCATGCCGCGTCCTGCGGGAATGGCTGGTGCAGCGGGACTCACGCTGGGGTTCCGACCCGGATGCGCCCGTGTTTTGCGCGACTCATTTGGCGGAGCCCCGCCCCGTGAATTGCGACTCCTTCCGCCGAAATCTTTCGCAGTTCTTTCAGACCGCCGCAGTGGGGACACACTCACTGCGAAAAGGCGGTGCTCATTGGTACAAGACAGTGTACTGCTTGCCGGAAGAGTTGGTGCAGGCTCAGGGCGGCTGGTCGGCCCCTGAAACCATGCGAGCATTTTACGCTCGTTTCTCAGATTCAGAACGGTGCGATCAGCTGTTACGCGCCGTGTCTACAGCTTCGAGTGGCGTGGCGGTCCCAGCCACCACTCATCATCATACGCGTGTTTCACCGATGCCTCTGTGGAGGCGCCTCAGTGGGAGCTTGTAAAAACTCGCCTCCTCGGGGTTGCGCCTGTCCAGTGCTCCTGGCGGCCATTCCTGGGTCACCACGGACCTGGCCAGGCCGGCCTGCAGCTCCATGAGGCACCCCACACGAGGCATATGTTGCCAGCGCAGGAGACACCGCCTTGGACTTGGAGGCAAAAACAGTTCCTTACCGACTCCTTCCCCCAGTCACGGGGCACCGAACAGGCAGAAGGCGTCCTTTCTTAGGGGGCTGTGCGCTCGGGAAAGGGGCTTCTGCGGGTTCGCGGGATTCGGTTCGTCTCCTTTTCGGGCCCCTCGTGCGTTTTGCTGGATTCGGCTCGCGCGCAGGCGCCCTGTTCCAAGGGTCGGGGTCTACCGCTCCCACCCCCCGCACCCTTATTTTTTTCCGTGCCTGCTGCAATCCGCTTCCCTTCGGGGGGGTTGCGCCTGTCCAGTGCTCCTGGCGGCCATTCCTGGGTCACCGCGGACCTGGCCAGGCCGGCCTGCAGCTCCATGAGGCACCCCACACGAGGCATATGTTGCCAGCGCAGGAGACACCGCCTTGGACTTGGAGGCAAAAACAGTTCCTTACCGATTCCTTCCCCCAGTCACGGGGTACCGAACAGGCAGAAGCTACCCCTCCCCCTTTGTTTGGATTTTGTAATTTTCAGGCCCCTGGCTGAAAAAGGGGGGCAGCTTGGAAACTACCCCCCCTCCCTTTTTTTCGGGGCCCGAGGGAAGCCCGGGATCCCCTTTCCAAGAGGAGGGGGTCCGAAGCTACCCCCGTTTTTTTTTTTTCTGTTGTCACATCCAGCTGGAGGACTGGCGGAAGGAGGAGCTGCGAAGCTACTTGTCTTCTTTGGTTTTCGGCGCCCCGTTGGTTTTTGGCGTGCTTGTGGTTGTCGGCGTCTCTTTGGCTGACGGCGTTCCTTTGGTTTTCGGCGCCCTTTGGGTGGCGCCTTTCTTGGTTTGCTGCGCACTCGTTTGGTTTGCGGTGCATCGTTGGTTTTCGGCTCCCTCTGGGGTTGCGGTGCCCCTTTGGTCTGGTCTTCGGCGGCCCATTTGGTTTTCGGCGCGCTCTTTGGTTTCGAGCGCTCCTGTGGATTTCGGCGTTCTTTTGTTTTTCGGCGCTTCTGTCGGTTTGCTGCGCGTTCTTTTGTTTTCGGCGAATCGTTGGTTTTCGGCGCCCTCTTGGGTTCCGGCGCCTTTTAGGTTTTCGGCGCCTTTTTGGTTTTCGGCGCGCTGTTTGGTTTTCGGCGCCTATCTGATTTTTGGAGTTGTTTCGGTTTTCGGCGCTTCTTGGGTTTCGGCGCCACTTTGGTTTTCGGCGCCCTTCGGCTTTTGGCGCGCCTTTGGTTTCTGGCGCCCTTTGGTTTTCGACGCCCCCATGGCTATCGGCGCGCATTTGGTGTTTCCTCGCCGTTTTGGTTTTCGTCGCCTCTTAGGTTCTCGGCGCCCCTGTCGTTTTCGGCGCCTCTTTGGTTTTCGGCGTCCCTTTGGTTTTCGGCGTCCCTGCGGTTTTCGGCGCCCCTTTGGTTTTGTTGCGCCTCTTTGGTTTTCGGCGCACCGTCCGTCTTCGGAGCTTTTGTGGTTTTCAGCGCTCGGCGCTCTATTGGTTATCGGCGCCCCTTTGTTTTTTGCTGGTGCCCCTTTTATGGTTTTCGGCGTTTCTTTGGTTTTTGGCGTCCTCTTGGCTTTCGGCGCGCATCTTTGGTTTTTGGTCTCCTTTCGGTTATCGGCGCCCTTTCTGCTTCTGGCGCATCTTCGGTTTTCGGTGTCCCTTTTTGTGCTCGGCGCTTTTTCGGTTTTCGTCCTCCTTTTGGTTTTCTGCGCCCCCTTGGTTTTCGGCGCCGCTTCGGTATTCGATGCCCTTGCGGTTTTCGGCGCTCATTTCGTTCTCGGCGCCCTTGTGGTTTTCGGCGCCCTTCTGGTTTTCGGTGCTCCTTTGGTTTTTGGCGCCGTTTTGGTTTCCGGTTCCCTTTTGGTGTCCGGCGCCCCTTAGTTTTCGGCGCAGTTTTCGTTTTCGGTGCCCTGTTGGTGTTTGCCGTCCTTTCGGTTGTCGGCGCCCTCTTGGTGTTCGGCGCCCCTTGGGTTTTCGGCGTGCCTTTCGTGCTCGGCGATCCTTTCGTGTTCGGCGCCCTTTTGGGTTTCGGCTCTCTGGTTTTCGGCGCCATTTTTGTTTTCGGCGCTGCTTTGGTTTTCGTTTTTACGGCGCATCTTTGGTTTGTCGGCGCCCCGCTGGTTTTCGCGGCCTTGCGTGGTTTTCGACGCCACTTTGGTTTGGGGCGTCCTTTTGGTTTTCGGCGCTTCTTTGCTGTTCGGCGCGCTTTTAGTTTTCGGTGCTTTTTCGATTTCCGGTTCCTATTTGATTCTCGACGACCTTTGGGTGATTGGTGACGTTTTGATTTTCGGCGTTCTTTTGATTTCGGCGCTTTCTCTTTCGGTTGTCGGCGACCTTCTGGTTTTCGGCGCCGTTGTGGTTTTCGGCGCACCTTCGGTTTTCGGCTCCCTTTTGGATTTCGGCGTCCCTTCGGTTTTCGGCGCGCCTCTGGTTTTCGCACCCTTGCGGTTTTCGGTTGCCCTTTGGTTATCGGCGCTCTACAGGTTGTCGGCGTCCTTTTTTGTCATCCTTCTTGAGCCCAAAAGGGGGGAGGGGGAAGGAGCTTCCGGCACGGGAGGTTCAATGACCGGGGGAGTTTGCAAAGTTTAAGTCGGGTCCGGTCCCTCTACAGGAGGGAATCGTCAAAAATAGTCCGGTTTTTTTTGACAATTTTTGAGCATCGCCCAAGATCTCCCTGTAGGGGGACACGCCCGACTTCAAGCTAAGCCCCCCCCCTGTGGAAAGGAGGAGAAGGGGTGGTGGTGGCCTCTGGAGCGCGAAGG